TTCTTTATAAAGCAAGATCAGCATAAAAATTTTCGGCAAGTGGCGCAGCACGTGATGTCTTTAGATGATTCGCACCATAGGATAAATAATTAATGTGTACATGTCGATCAAATCACAAACTTCTTTTTATTTTATTTTATTAAAAAAAAAATTTGTCATCAGCTGTTGATGATAAAAAAAGAAGAAGCAAAGGAAGAGGAATTGCCGATGATTGATTTAAGAATAAGGATGGTGGTGATTATCACCACCACTCGTCACTCCAGTTATTTAAAAAGAATGGTGGTAGGTGTAATGCATCATCATTCTAGTTCTAATTATCCCTAAAAATATTTTATTAGAGATAATAATATAAGTGGTAAATGAAAGAGAGAAGAGACTGAAGAGAATAATAAGTATGCTTCTAGTAAATAAATATTCATGTTATTGCATGTCTTTGTAATCTTTTTTTGCATTAGCTAAATTTGAATTTATTAACACTTGACTTAGGTTCTAGTAATTGGATAAATGAATGGAATGATGAAGAGACATTTAATAATTGGAATGATGATAAATTAGGAACTATTGGTAATGGAGATTATTCCAAGTATATTGATTTAGAGGCTTTGTTTGACACGATAAGAACTTCTGTACAAAAAGGCATGATACCACTAAAACCAATGGATGTCTTCCAATTATTAAAAAATATTTATGAGGTATCTTCATTATTATCAAATTTTTTATTGGTAATATTACATTATAATCTAATTTGTTTTAAAAAAAAAACTCAAGGGAGAAGCAAAAGAATACAAAGAGGATCAAGAAGTCTCTTACATTGAATTACCTGAAATTTCCATGGAATATGATGAAGGAAGAGAGGAAAGTGAAAAGGAAGAAGGAAATGACGAAGAAGAAAGTATAGAGGATGAAGATGAGTTGGATGAAAATGAGGAAGAAGAAGGAAATGGAGTAGAAGATGAGGGTTGGGTTAGTCCAAAGCAAGTCCTAGCATCAAATGGAAAATATTTAATAATAACATATGATGAAGTGGAGATGGAGCAATCAGATAGTGAAAAGGAAGTTGATTATGAAGGTTTAAGTGTCTTGGAATCTGATGGAGGAATCCATTCAGGTTCAAGGCATTGGTCGAATGTGGAACTTATAATCCTATTGAAGCAGGGTTGGCAAATTGACTGGTCCATTGAGAACAGATGAATTTTGGACTGGTCCATTGCCATTAATAAAATACTAAA